GCCTCCACCCAAGCCAGGTTCATTTCCACTACCTGGAGATTTCAAAGTGCCTACACAGCGTGTAGAGTGGTGCCTGTGCCCTGCGCCTGTTATAACCTATTTATGAGTCTCTCTCTCCCGCTGGACTTTGAGCTTAGGCTCAGAGCCTGCTCTACTTTCAGCGTCCCTGACCCCACTCAGTCAATGTCAGTGCTGCGCTTATGGACTCCAAGCAAAAACCCGCAATAGTGAGTGACTTGGACTGTTGTACTAGTAGACATCTAAGATGATGCTTGCTCTAAAAGACCACAGATTCTTTATTTTTACTGGAGTGTATCACCTTCACTTCCTCATACACATTGTAGGCAAGGAAAAATAAAACCTTCCTTATTTTTAAAGTCTACATTCAGGGATCATTAGTGCTGCATTTTTACTGATACTGAAGTACTATTTCATAGAGGACATCTTATATGAACTGAACAATCCTAAAGACAAACTAGCATGCTTAAAATTCCCAGATGACATCACAAGGTAGGGCTTAATATTAAATATGCACATTTGAGGGTATAAAGGCTTCATTGGCATGAAGTTATCTATAGGCTGACTTTTATCACTTTAAACATGACCCAAGGGTGATTACATTGAAAGCCACATCACAGCGAAAATGCTGGGTCTCTCAGCAATCTTGTTTTATTCTTGGGCAAAGGGAAAGGACTCTCAACCACAGCTAACCCAAAGGACAAAAGGGGACTCTGAGCAAGTCTGACCATTTCATCCACAGTTCCATGACTCAGCCCTTAGGAATTGGGAGCTGTTCAGATATGCAGACATCTTACTCCATTCTTATCTTCAGCCACGTTCACTTATCCAGGTCCAAACGGTTTATTTACTAACAATGTGTCAGCACACGCCAAGCTCCTTTTACATATGACCTTATCTGAACCTCATGTCAACCCTATGGAGCAGGTACTATTATTCTCCCCACTTCACAGATGATCCTCAAAGAGTTAAGTAACTTGTCCAAGGACACTCAGCTCCCGGCGTTGGAGCTGGGGTTTGTATCCAGCTCAACTTAGCTCCCAAACTCACTGTCCCACACTGTCTTGCAGGCTTAACATCCAATTAAACCAGTTGATTAGAATTGCTTTCTGATTTTTCACTGTGTTTAAAATGTTTCTCACCCATCAATCTCATGTATGAAAGTCCAGCAAGACCATGTGATAATTCTGTATTCTGAGATGTTAAAGCATAAGTTTCCCATTAAGACCGGGATTATTTAAAGTGGATAGAAGGAGGCGGGAGGGAAAGGAAGGAGGGTCCCTACCACCTGGCAGGCACTGCAGCACCCAAGATCCTGAAACAACCCTGCTTTTTTGTCCTTGACTAAGCTGCTTCCTTGGCCCCAAATGCTCTTATCCCTTTTTTGGCCATCCTTGAAAGCCCAGCTCAATTGTTCGCTTCCTCAACCCTGTGGCCTCCTGCTCTGTGCTCTCAGAGCTCCTTCCCCCTCACTAAGTGCTCCAGCACCAAGTGCTACGACCTACAAGTAGCTGCATTTAGCATCTTCTCTGTTGTGTTGAGGGAGGGATTGTGACCAGTGAGGAGATTTGGAAGGCTGCAAAAACATTTCTCCTAATTCAGACCACCTGTCATAAGCATGACCTCACAGCTCAGAACTGAGCCCTTTATTGTGGGGTAGTTTTAGAAAGGGGGCATTCCATCAAGAACTGGGGTGGGATACACTGGGCACTTAGTTAAAGGGATGAAGTTCTGAAATCAGTGGATATTTCCAACCTACTCTGGGTTACTTTCCCTTCTTTTTCTTCTCCCAGATAATAACTGGGTGAGAACTCGAAATGTATGCATTATTTTCTAATTTTTGAAGAGGACATAAGTGATAACTTTCATTCCTTGTTCACAGTATTACCCTTCACCTCTTTCCTTTTTGAGTAGGAAGATTTACATAATTGGGGGACTCATGCCATCCCCTCACTTGGACATCGAGGAGGATACGTACATGTCTACATAAGGTCATTGATGCTAAGATGCTAGAGCACAAGGGTCCACGTGGAGGGTGTGCAAATAAGACAACACAGAAGACTGAGATTACTCTCCTTAGAAAGGCCTGACTGCAAGGTTGGTCCTTGGCTGATGTCTGGGAACTTGGATTTCAAAAGGGTTCCCACCACTCCCTAAGTGATAAGAGTGACTCACTATGCTCCAACTATATGTACAAGCAATATATATATATATATATATATATATATATACTTTTTTTTTACACCTTTATTGGAGTATAATTGCTTTACAATGGTGTGTTAGTTTCTACTTTATAACAAAGTGAATCAGTTATACATATGTTCCCATATCTCTTCCCTCTTGCATCTCCCTCCCTCCCACCCTCCCTATCCCACCCCTCTAGGTGGTCACAAAGCACCGAGCTGATCTCCCTGTGCTATGCGGCTGCTTCCCACTAGCTATCTATTTTATGTTTGGTAGTGTATATATGTCCATGCCACTCTCTCACTTTGTCACAGCTTACCCTTCCCCCTCCCCATGTCCTCAAGTCCATTCTCTAGTAGGTCTGTGTCTTTATTCCTGTCTTACCCCTAGGTTCTTCTTGACATTTTTTTTTCTTAAATTCCATATATATGTGTTAGCATACAGTATTTGTCCTTCTCTTTCTGACTTACTTCACTCTGTATGACAGACTCTAGGTCCATCCACCTCATTACATATAGCTCAATTTCGTTTCTTTTTATGGCTGAGTAATATTCCATTGTATATATGTGCCACATCTTTTTTATCCATTCATATACCCTGAGAAAACCATAATTCAAAAAGAGTCATGTACCAAAATGTTCATTGCAGCTCTATTTACAATAGCCAGGACATGGAAACAACCTAAGTGTCCATCATCGGATGAATGGACAAGCAATATATTTTATGCTAAGCACCTGCTTTCCTTTTGGGAACCTGGAACTTTAGTATGTAGCAGGCAAAGGGTGCCTATGTGACTAGCCACCAATATAAACTTTGGCCATGGAATCTGTAATGAGCTTCCCTGGTAGACAACACTTCACATACGTAACAACTCATTGCTGAGGGAACGAAGTACATCCTGTGCAACTCCACAGGGACGGGGCTCTTGGAAGACTGTGCCTGCTTCCTCTGGACTTGGCGCCATGCACCTTTCTTTTTGCTGATTCTTCTCTGTATCCTTTCACTGTAATAAATCATAACTGTGCATACAACTATATGTTGAGTCCTGTGAGCCTTCCTAGCAAATCATTAAACCTAGGAGTGGTTTGGGGGACCACTAACACAGGGAGTTTTAAAGTGTCCATGGGGCATGGCCCAAGTCACAAGAAGCCATGGGCTTATAAAAAGAAGATATGTAGTAATGGGACCTCTAAGGAAAGCTCTCTCTCAATAAGGGTAAGTAGGATGTGACTTGGGGTGATGGCATGCAAAATGTTACAGTGAAAAGAAGGGAGTTAAACCTGTACAACCCTCTGTCAACATTTACTTCTTTGTCTAAGAAAATGTGTGAGACATTGTTTTACCTACGTCCAAAATGATGCAGACATCATGAATTCACAAGAATTTTTAAATATTCCTTGCAATTCAATCTCCTTGGTAGTGGAGTTATCCAGCACCCGGAGAAGCCACAGCTTTTATATGGGAAGAAACAGCCCTGCTGTTGGCAGCATAGGTCTGGAAAAAAGTGCATGCTTCAAAAACGTAGGTTAAATGAAAGAAATGCTAAGTAGATATCAGGTCCACATATATGTCAAATGCCTTCTCTCTTTTCCCTTCTCTTTATGGATTACTTGGTCCTTAAAACTGACACATACTAGTCAATGGGAGAATATATTCCACATTAGAAATGAATTCATTTCATTTTTTAAAAATTGCAATGGATATTCCAGAACAGGGACTGTGTCTTATCATGGACACAAGTATTTTTTTTTTATTTATAAAGCACTTTCTTAACATCACCTCATTTGATACTCGTAACAACTCCATGAGGTAGATAATATGACTTCTATCTTCCATGGAGCCTGGTCCAATACAAGACAAGCAATGATGCTCAATTAAGACTTACTAGTTGACTGATGGCTTTAGGAAAATTACTTTAGGCTTTAGGAAAATTACTGCTTTACAAAAATCAATAATTCCTGAAGTCTGTCAGTGGAAGAACAAGCTGAAAAGCAATCCAGGCATTCAGAGGAATTATTAAAAACACAAATTAAGTCATTTCTATGGACTCTACAGCAGGAAATATATTTTTAATGAGGAAATTGAAGCTAATATATAACAGCTGTCCTGTTACCCAGTAACAGACTATTAAGGCAGATTAAATTATTAATGAAAAATATAGTAACTTGGAAGTTTAACCTTTAAACATTCTCATTCCTCTCTCTTTTATATAAAGTCTTTAAACTGATACTTATTTTTAAAAACACCTTTGGTCATCTTATGTAGTTTCCATTTATAATTTGCTTTGCTGTGGAATCTTCAGCAATGTTTCACTATCAGACTTTTCCACAGTACAATAGCCAAAGTCTCTATGCCTCGAAGAGCAGGGAGCCTCCAGGAAACTTACTGGATGATACGCATGCTGGTCAAACCTCCCAAAACTCCCACATCTTTGACACCACCACTGGTTGCCCTAAATTAGCCAAACTGCACTTGACTCGCAGACCCACGAGCAAAGAAAAAATATTGTTGATATAAAGCCACTGAGAATGTGAGGGTTGTTTGCTATATGCAGCAATAGTGATTGTCAATAAGTGATTCAAGAGGTTATCCATAAGTTACTAAAGTAATAAACATAAAAAAGAAAAGTATATGGGAAGAACACAGGAAGAGAAACGAAAGGGAGGGAAGCTAAAAGGTGCATTCACGTGGCCTAAAAAACCATGCCCTCTCTGCCTTCCACCATGTTTACTGCCAACCAGCAGAAAGATAAGAGTAGCAGCTGTTTCCAGGGCCACTCTCAGGCGGTGTATACTCACATTTGTGTTGCACAGCTTGTACTGCCGATAGGCCCCAATGCAGGAGATTGCTGTAGATCGGGCAGGCTGGGAGAAGCTCTGAGCTGCCCTGTGGGCCCCCAGGCCAGGGCTGCTGCTTGTTTCTGGGTTGTGGAAGAGATCTGAGGCTTCAGGGAAGCCTTGGTCATGGGTCAAAGGCAGCTGGTAGATGGAGCCTTCCGAGACTTGCAGTCCAGGACGAGGTCCGCTGTCACTCTGGTACAGAGGTCCATGTCGGGGGGCCCGGTGGGCTGGAGGGTTGTAGCCACGGCTAGAACCAGATGCCCCCTGGGACCTGGAATTCCGGGATGAGGGCCTCTGCCTCCGAAGCCTCTGTGGCAGGTGTGCAGAGTCCGTCTGCAGTGGTAAGATGTATGGGGCCTTACCATAGCCATACATGCCAGGGCCGATGGGACCTCGGGTCCTGCTCCTAAAGAGAGACACACAAGAGAGGATTTTCATGTTGACCCAGAAGCTCTGATCCATGGGAGAGGGAACTGGGTAGGAACAGAAGCCTGGGAGAGAGCTTATAGTGGAACAGGGAGGTAAAAGAGGGCTTTCTAGGAGAATGGAAGATTCTGGAGGCTGGAACAGAGGCTCTACAGAGGATGCCATGTAGAATGAAGGTGGGAATAAACAGTGGGTGATGTGACTGGTGGAAAATGAGGTTAGAACGGTAAGCTGCGGCCAGTATGTGATTTATGTCAGGGAGTTTGGGTGTTTTTGTAGGTTGTAGGGAGCCACTGAAGGTTTTTTGAGAAGAATAAAGATAGAATTGTAATTTCAGCCAGAGTAACGTCCTGTTCGCTCTTTTTCAGATAATAGTTTGTGGGGGTTTTTTTTCTCACTTAATTGTACCTGATATTTCAGACCCTGTTTCCATGACCATTCCAGCCCAAATAGCTTTTCCAGGTAAATGGAACCTAGCTAAGCAACCAAAGACTAATGCAGTCCTGAGGCGAGACTTGCTCTGGGTCAAACTCAATCCCTGATGAAACGAGAGGAAGCTGAACAATGCGGAACCCAGGCGGAACAATGAGTAAATGGTCATCTTCACATTGGTATGGATCTTTAGGTTTTGTCAAGACCAGCTGCCTTGTGAGGTCTTATGACAATCATGTAAACAGAAGTGTGCATGTAAATTTCCAACAACTGGCTTTCCAGTGGGAAAAAAGCCCTGATTTGTGCCATTTGTCCATTTCCACGGTGTAAGTACTCCCACCATGGCCAATTTCAAGCTATCAATGTGAAGACACAATCATCTCTAACAAGCAGGGAAAAAAACTCCAGCACACCACTGCATACAAATGTATTGTGAAAATACTGTTTGCAAAATACAGAGTTAGGAATGATGAAGAAATATAAAAGTGAATCAGAGAGGGTTCCCAAGATCCCAACCATACAACTGAAAGTAACTAGAACATAACACAAGGTGGGGTAACAGCCTCGGGAGCAATACAACAAGCAATGCGTCAGGAATTCTGAGGCAAGAGAATGCCTCAGAGTTCCTCCCCCTTCTGTCTGTGGGGATCTGAGAAGGTTTCACCATCACTGGTCTGAGAGTTGGGAAGCAAGGTTCCAACGCTGTGGAAGAATTTAAGTAAGACATATAACTCTTACTTATTTGTAAAATGACTGAACTGGATTAAATGACCACGAAGGTCGTTCCAGCTCTAAAATTTTATGCTTCCATAATAATTAATTCTACATTTATGTAAAATTGGAAATGTGCCCAAGAGTTTCTACAGGATGGCCCCATTAAAATAAGCACATTAAAATAGCAATCAAGGTGAAACATTAATTTCTGCCCTCACGAGGAAATTCTTGCTTCACTCTACATAACCACTGAACGTAACATTTAACAGACCACAACTAATTATTAACATCTTTATCATTAATTGCACCGTCATTCTTAGCTGATACAGTTAAGAATTAAACTGTGCTAATGTTTATTTTGCCTTTAGGCATTTCTCAATTAATCTTGGCAACAGTAAGGACTCTATGAATGATGGGGGGATCCAGAATGTTGCTTTGAGAGATGCAATTAAGAAGTCGGTCTTAGGAGGAGCTTCAAGATGGCGGAAGAGTAAGACATGGCGATCACCTTCCTCGCCACAGATACAGCAGAAATACATCTACATGTGGAACAACTCCTACAGAACACCTACTGAACATTGGCAGAAGACCTCAGATGTGCCAAAAGGCTCTTGGTGCTCTAGCCAGGAGTCAGGGCTGTGCCTCTGAGGTAGGAGAGCCAAGTTCAGGACATTGGTCCACCAGAGACCTCCCAGCTCCACGTAATGTCAAATGGCAAAAATCTCCCAGAGATATCCATCTCAACGTCAAGACCCAGCTCCACTCGACGACCAGCAAGCTACAGTACTGGACATCCTATGCCAAACAACTAGCAAGACAGGAACACAAACCCACCCATTAGCAGAGAGGCTGCCTAAAATCATAAGGTCACAGACACCCCAAAACACACTACCAGACGTGGACCTGCCCACCAGAAAGACAAAATCCAGCCCCATCGGCCAGAACACAGGCACTAGTCCCCTCCACCAGGAAGCCTACACAACCCACTGAACCAACCTTAGCCACTGGGGGCAGACACCAAAAACAATGGGAACTATGAACCTGCAGCCTGCGAAAAGGAGACCCCAAACACAGTAAGATAAGCAAAATGAGAAGACAGAAAAACACACAGCAGATGAAGGAGCAAGATAAAAACCCACCAAACCTAACAAATGAAGAGGAAATAGGCAGTCTACCTGAAAAAGAATTCAGAATAATGATAGTAAAGATGATCCAAAATCTTGGAAATAGAATGGAGAAAATAAAAGAAATGTTTAACAAGGACCTAGAACTAAAGAGCAAACAAACAGTGATGAACAAAACAATAAATGAAATTAAAAATTCTCTAGAAGGGATCAATAGCAAAATAACTGAGGCAGAAGAATGGATAAGTGACCTGGAAGATAAAATAGTGGAAATAACTAGTGCAGAGCAGAATAAAGAAAAAAGAATGAAAAGAATTGAGGACAGTCTCAGAGACCTCAGAGACAACATTAAAAGCGCCAATATTTGAATTATAGGTGTCCCAGAAGAAGAAGAGAAAAAGAAAGGGACTGAGAAAATATTTGGAGAGATTACAGTTGAAAACTTCCCTAACATGGGAAAGGAAATAGTTAATCACAGAGAGTCCCATACAGGATAAATCCAAAGAGAAACACGCCAAGACACATATTAATCAAACTATCAAAAATGAAATACAAAGAAAAAATATTAAAAGCAGAAGGGGAAAAACAACAAATAACATACAAGGGAATCCCCATAAGGTTAACAGCTGATCTTTCAGCAGAAACTCTGCAAGCCAGAGGGTGTGGCAGGACACAGTTAAAGTGAGGAAAGGGAAAAACCTACAACCAAGATTAGTCTACCCAGCAAGGATCTCATTCAGATTTGACAGAGAAATTAAAACCTTTACAGACAAGCAAAAGCTGAGAGAGTTCAGCACCACAAAACCAGCTCTACAACAAATGCTAAAGGAACTTCTCTAGGCAGGAAACACAAGGGAAGGAAAAGACCTACAATAACAAACCCCAAAAAATTAAGAAAATGGTAATAGGAACATACATATTGATAATTACCTTAAATGTAAATGGATTAAATGCTCCAATCAAAAGACATAGATTGGCTGAATGGATACAAAAACAAGACCCATATTATCCTGCCTACAAGAGACCCACTTCAGACCTAGGGACACATACAGACTGAAAGTGAGGGGATGGAAAAAGATATTCCATGCAAGTGGAAATCAAAAGAAAGATGGAGTAGCAATTCCCATATCAGACAAAACAGACTTTAAAATAAAGACTATTACAAGATACAAGAAGGACAGTACATAATGATCAAGGGATCAATCCAAGAAGATATAACAATTGTAAATATTTATGCACCCAACATAGGAGCAACTCAATACATAAGGTAAATGCTAACAGCCATAAAAGGGGAAATCAACAGTAACACAATCATAGTAGGGGACTTTAACACCCCACTTTCACCAATGGACAGATCATCCAAAATGAAAATAAATAAGGAAACACAAGCTTTAAATGATACATTAAACAAGAAGAACTTAATTGATATTTATAGGCCATTCCATCCAAAAACAACAGAATATGCTTTCTTCTCAAGTGCTCAGGGAACATTCTCCAGGACAGATCATATCTTGGGTCACAAATCAAGCCTTGGTAAATTTAAGAAAATTGAAAATGTATCAAGTATCCTTTCTGACCACAACACTATGAGACTAGATATCAATTACAGGAAAAAATTTGTAAAAAGTACAAACACATGGAGGCTAAGCAATACACTACTTAATAACCAAGAGATCACTGAAGAAATCAAAGAGGAAATCAAAAAATACCTAGAAACAAATGACAATGAAAACACGACAACCCAAAACCTACGGGATGCAGCAAAAGCACTTCTAAGAGGGAAGTTTATAGCAATACAATCCTACCTCAAGAAACAAGAAACATCTCAAATAAACATCATAACCATACACCTAAAGCAATTAGAGAAAGAAGAACAAAAATCCCCCAAAGTTAGCAGAAGGAAAGAAATCGTAAAGATCAGATCAGAAATAAATGAAAAAAAAATGAAGGAAACAATAGCAAAGATCAATAAAACTAAAAGCTGGTTCTTTGAGACGATAAACAATATTGATAAACCACTAGCCAGACTCATCAAGAAAAAAAGAGAGAAGACTCAAATCAATAGAATTAGAAATGAAAAAGGAGAAGTAACAACAGACACTGCAGAAATACAAAGGATCATGAGATCTTACTACAAGCAACTCTATGCCAATAAAATGGACAACCAGAAAGAAATGGACAAATTCTTAGAAATGCACAACCTTCCGAAACTGAATCAGGAAGAAACAGAAAATATGAACAGACCAATCACAAGCACTGAAATTGAAACTGTGATTAAAAATCTTCCAACAAACAAAAGCCCAGGACCAGATGGCTTCACAGGCGAATTCTATCAAACATTTAGAGAAGAGCTAACACCTATCCTTCTCAAACTCTTCCAAAATATAGCAGAGGGAGGAAACTCCCAAACTCATTCTATGAGGCCACCATCACCCTGATACCAAAACCAGACAGGGATGTCACAATGAAAGAAAACTACAGGCCAATATCACTGATGAACATAGATGCAAAAATCCTCAACAAAATACTAGCAAACAGAATCCAACAGCACATTAAGTGGATCATACACCATGACCAAGTGGGGTTTATGCCAGGAATGCAAGGATTCTTCAATATACGCAAATCAATCAACGTGATACACCATATTAACAAACTGAAGGAGAAAAACCATGTGATCATCTCAATAGATGCAGAGAAAGCTTTCGACAAA